CGAAATATACTTATTTAAAAATGAGGTATTTAATCGCAAAATTATTGTTGGTCGGTCATTTTTGCTAGGTGAGTGTATATGTCTATTTATTAAGCTGTTTGCTAACATAAAATGACTAGTCTATATTTGAAAATAGATCTAATTATATACTGATCGTATTTAGAAAATAATCCTTTCCAAATAAAGTTAAACAACGTACTACCAGCTTCTAGGCATTCTTTTATTATCCTAACAAACTAAATTCAAGAATGAAATATGAATAATCAACAATTGTTGCCTCAGCGGTACTATGTAATAGGTCTTTATAGAAAATACCTAATTCTTTACAAAACAAAGCAAAGTCTAAAGTTCTGCCGCGGCATTTCCTTAAAAATATTTAAAATATCACTTAAGGCGATGGATGGGAAATTATTAAAAACGATGTTATAAACGGACGTGATGACGCCATAAATGCCAGGACTGCCATAAATGACAGAATTCGATCATTAGGCGCAACAATGTAATTAGGCACACAATAAATGAAGATTATCATCAGCCTTGTGACACAGTTTGATAATCATAACAATGGGATATTGGTTCTTATTATTGTTTCTAAAGCAAGAATATAAATGGTTCGAAAGTTGAAACAATGCTAAAAAAAAAAAAAATGAATCTTCCAAAATATGATGGGAATATGCACCCAGATGAATGGATAAATGATTTTCAAAATCATTTCAAAATTAATGGAAAAATTATGAATTATTGTTATGCTTTACCACTAGTAGATCCTATCATCAAACTCCCGACTGGAATTAGTAGTTTGGAAAAACTTCGTAATGCACTTAAGGAAGATATTTCTTTCAAAATATTCAAAAATACAAATAAAAGAAAATTACAAATATTGAGAGATATTCCTGAAAAAGAAGGCGGTGAAACTTCAAAGTTTATTTCAAATTTTCTCAATTATGTTATAATGCCGAAATCAACGATATTGAAGAACAAAAGAAATACCTAAATTTTTCTCTTCCAAATGATTATTTTATGACCGAATATTATAAGTGAAAAAAAAAAATTAATTCCACAAATGAATTAATTAACGAATTTGAGGAAATTGTTATGGATGAGTCAAATTTAATCAGAAATGGATCTATTGTAACTTTAAAACATGTTGCTACGGGAAAATATTTAAGTTCCATTAAAAATTTAAATTATTTGACTGGTAGCAGGGCTCAATTGGTATGGTTTTTTTTTATAATTAAGTACCTTTATAGATAAATTTTTTTATATTATATAATTACTTTAGGTTTATGCAACTGATTTACTATATTCGGATAACTTATGGAAAATTACATTTATGAACGGGAAAGAACTAGCTTCATACACCGATGTTAATTCTATATGTTTACAACACAAAAATTCTGATATGCATTTTGGAATTTATAACTATAGGTATTATTGCAATTCACCTGTAACTAAGCACATCGAAGGTAGTCATTAATTTTTATTATCTATATTCTTTTTAAAAGGTTTTTGTATTGATATTTTATTTATTTAGTAAATTGTTCAAGTATTAATAATTATAATAATTGGAAGTTTAATGATAGTAAATTAGAAAATTATCAAGGATATTTGAAATCGAATGATATTATTAATCTTAGTACATACAACATTCATCATAATCGACAAGAATATTTACGTAGTCACGATTTTTAATTTACTATTGAAAACGATATTTTTCAAGAAGTTGTTTGTCATAACGAAAGACTAGGAGGCAATGATGAGGTATGTTGATTAATATTAATTATTTATTTACAGTAAGTATTGATAATGAAAACTAAAGTGATTATTCCTTTTAGTGGTGCATTGAACTTATTAATCAAAAGTAAATAAGTTTTGAGATTTCATAAATAAATAATTCTTTATAAACAATTGTAATATTGATAAATTATTTTAATTCTTAAGCCCAATTTGTTTATTAAAAGAAAAAAGTATCGTTTTACTGGCGATAAAATAACTTTTTACAGTCAGAATTCTCTTGATATAACGATCACTTAATAAATTCTCGTATAAACGATTTTTAGTTCTATATTAATCTACAGTATATTGATAAATGATTTTATTTTTTTTAAAAAATTTTTATATTAAACCGGAGTGGGTCGTTATGACGTGTTCTAACTGTAATCTACTTTTATATTTTTGAAGTGTAATTTATTTATTTTTTTTTTTTAAAAAAAAAAATAAAATATCCTTAAGCGATCAAGGGGATGAAGTCCCCCGGCTATTCGTATAATGAGTTGTTTGATGAATACTAATAAAATTCAAAATTAATTATAAATATTGTAAATACCGCTAATTAAATTATTTGAAGTCCACTCGTTCCTTCAACTTCAAAAAAAATTCATATTGAGAACAATTAAGGAAACAAAAATAAGATAGCGTCATCACCGCGATGTTTGTATTTCTATATCTTCTTATTGCCTATTTGTTTTTTCATTAAACGAACGATTTGTAATGTCCAAACAATAATTATTTTCATTTAAAGAAAAAAGAATTTAGCAGTTAAAATGACTTACTAGAATATTCAAGCTTTATACGAACGATTAATCAATTCAACCTGCGCATCTAATAAAAGTATGACCTAGTTTTATAAATAAAAAGTGTTTTGTTATCTACAACCACATAGTTTTGACCACCCCATTGAACCATGATCTAAAATTTAATCATGGATGCATCGTAAATTTGTTATTTGCCATTAAACTATTCGTGATGTATATGAATGCAAAACGCAGTTCAATAATTTTATTTTTGCAATATTTTAATAATAAAGTTTTTTACAAGATTTTAATTCTATCTTTAACTTTGTTATTTTACCGAATAATGAAGATTGTCTAACATCATTTTAAGTGATTATTTTACTATTTTATTCTTCCTATTATTTTTCTTATTCTTCTTATTCCTCCTTCTCTTCTGTTCTGTATTTATCTCCACCGCATTTTCCCAAATTTTAACGCCAATTTCCATCACTTGACGTTCAAATTTATCAACAGGTACCAACTTAAAATTATCATCCGTGATATAACATAGTCTATCTGGATGGATAAGATAATTCGTAAAACCTTCTGTTAAGTTGGTTCCCAAGTACGTAATACTATTTTCCATTTCATTCCAAAGGAGCAAGCGTTTATTTTCATCCAGCATCCACATGGCGAATCCATAATGATCAACATATAAAGGACAAAATTTCGTGACGCCAAATTCTTTAGCAAAATGTTCTCTATGTTCTTCATCAAAAAGTCACAAGTCTTTATTAGCAATGTTATAAAGTTTATCCTTTAATGTTTCAACAAGGTGATGCGGCACATTTGGCAATTTTGGCAAAGAAACACTTTTATCCTCTTCTTTTACTGACAGCGTGAGAGTACTGACTGGAAGGTTCGGTTTTATTTGAGCTAGATGCGTTTATGGATTGGTTTCTGAGCAATTTCCGTGTTTCCAAATCTCTATCTGTGGCATCAGCTCCTGATCTTGATAGCGGGGGAGAAGATGTCGAGGAAAAAGATTCTGATCGTTCTGTTGTAGCACCTTGATTATGCGAATTATCCAACTTATGATTGATTTGATTCAAATGTTGATATAGAAATATCTTCAGAACTTTCCAAATTTTCACTCGCTTTTCCTCGCTTATTTGCCGAAAGTTTATCGTATATAGGTAACACAGAACGTCCCATACTGGTAACTATCGGACCCAAGTATCATTGTTATTAATATTGGTTTGTAGAATAAATTATTTGATTGTTCTTAAAGTAGAACAATAAAGAAATATAATAGCTTTGTTAAAAGAAAATATAGAACACGAGAATACTGTACCTGTGCGGCAGGTGAAACTTATTGTAAATTGTTGCTCTCCACTCTTCTGCACCATCTTTTCGACTTGTCTCCAAATCTAATAATATTAAAAGTACTTAATTTTTTTTCTTTTCATAATAAAATAAAGTTAACGAACGCTTACCGTGTCTTGTGTCCATGTTGCTTTCGGGTTGGTTATTAGGAATGGAAAGTGTATTGTCATTCATATTGTCCAATTGAGGGAGTTTGTATGAAAAATAAGCTTGGTAAACTGCAATGACATAAGAATAAACTATTTATGATTGGTCACGTTACACCACGTGCTCACAAGGAAAATATAAAATCAATTACCATCACATCGATTTTTTTTTTAAAAAATGAACTCTCAAAATAAAAATAAATTATTTATATAGGCAAGTAGAATACGAAAATAAATTTTTCAGGAAAATTTGAGTTGCCTTTTAATGAAACCAGTGGGAGATTTGCTATTAAAATCACGTCACGAATCATATGATCGTAACTCGATTTTAATAGTAAAACTCCCATATAATAAAGTAATTAAAGCAATACAGGTCCCGAAATTTTAATATAACAACTTAATTAAATTGATTATATTAAATTAAAATTACATATAAATGTCAGTGCTGCGGTAAAAGCACTTGACCATCCATTATACTCTCGAATACTTGGTTTCGAGTTAAAACTAATGCCAAAAAATAAATTAAAAATTTTTTTTGGTATTAAAACAATTTTCGTTATTTAAGAAAGATTTTTTTATATCGAAAAGTTCCCCATATATTTGATGATAGCAAAAATTTGTAGATTTTTCATCATTTTCCTTTATGCGTCTTTAAACTTTCCATTAAACTGGATGTTGTTTCTTCCAATGTTATTAATGAAAAATTCGTTTTTATTAAAGCCGCAAGTCCACTCATTATAGAATTAGCGGACATAATGTAGGTGACATAAAATAATCTTCGATCTGACGTAAATAAATCAAGGCTATGTGTGTAAACGTGTCAAGGAAACTTTATAAATCGCCCCAATTAAATTATATCACAGGTCTAACAGCCAAAAAAAAAGTATAGACTTACGAAGTTCAGCTCATTTCCAATTAAAAAGCGATCAAATCTAGAAATGTACATAGTTATTAGAACTGCTCAAAAATAGTTCACTTCTCACCAAGCTATAATTCATTCAATTTGTCATCAGAGAATATGAAGCATAACAGCATATTATTCAATGAACGTAATTTATTAAAATAATTAATTAAATCTTTTGAGTTTATTATTAATTTATTCAAATCAGTGAATTATTAATCTGTCTAAGGAGGTGGTAATGGACGCGGGTCGCGGTATCGATAAGAAACACCAACGGTTGAACCTGCAAACAGGTAATAACATATTAATCATTTTTAATTTCTATATTACCACTAACAGATTGTTATTTTATTATGTTTATTCGAATATTAGGACCAAAGAGTATTTTACATGCCCAACTTTTCTTAACTATTTTATTACACTTAACATATTTAGATTTAGTGTACATCAATGTCTATGAATATTGGGATATATTAATATAGCACATCTGAAAAATACAGACCCGCTAACAATACTTTGGCCAATATTAAACTCAATATATTTTATAAATTTGCAGACAAAGCACTAAATTACGTAATTTCATATCAAGCAACTGTAATAATAAGGAATATTCCGTGAGTTTGCCAATTATTCTCAAGGACCTAACTTTTAATGAAGTGGGATTATCAATTAACGGTTGAAAATTTTGATCTTTTTATCCATCACAATGACGGAATAAGAGGTAATGTATGCTGGTGAAAGAGTTAAGCGCATCTAATGATGTCACTTGCTTATTTTCACAGTTGATGAACTTGATTGAATTTAGAAGTTCTAAAACATTGCTTTATGGCATTCAATAGCGTTCATCTGTATTTCTATAAGGGTAAAAGATGAAAGTTGTTGTGATGTAAAATAGCCGGTATATTGCCGTTACAATCAGAAAATTCAACTCGTTTAATGGAAGGTGATAAAGTCAGCACGAATTCTTGAATATTCAAACGATCAGTTTCACTTAGGGCAATGTTAAGCTTCTCAATAATTGATATGAATTTTGAACTATGAAAAATGATTTCAAACAATTCGAGTAAAAATATGTCATAAAAAACACTGCTTA